ATAACAGTACTTGTAACGCTTTGATGAAGAAAATGGTTACTATGTAAAAGTTCATGGAGTACTAAAGTTGTTAAAATTTCCTGTAATCTTAATATTTATGATGTTATGAATATTATGACTGCTCCAATGTCCTGAAAGAAGAAAATTGCCCATATTAAAAACGTTCTCGTAAACAAAGATGAACTGAGCTGGAGAACAAAGCTTTGGAACGATAAACATAACGTTAAGGGCAATACATTAAGAACTTTCATGATCGTAACGTTGTTGCTCCTTATGTTTTAAATACAGGGACCACCGTCGCATTTTAGCTAGTTTTAGATCTGGATCGAAACAGGACGATTTACAACCCCCCAAACCTTTGAGAAAATAGAATTTGCCCGCACTGTTTTAAAATTGTTCATTAAAGTTTGTCGAAAATGAATTTCACTTTATTAAATGTTATGTCCTTTATGATCTTAGAAGTATTTTACTTAGATAATGGTCATCTCTTTTGAAACACGTGACGCATTCATAAAATAACTTCCTCTGTAAGGTTCACACCCAATTGTCAGACATCCCATTTGGCAGGTGACCGAATCATCAGACAGACCAGTCAAGTGTGACCAGTGTATTCGCCTGGTCTAAACTACTAATTACTGTGCTGCTCTCGACTGTGGGCAGAGTAAGCGATTCACCACTCGTTAAGTGATACAGATCAACCAGATTCCTCTACGCTGGGCAAACACTGGTCTATGTAGAATCATATCGTTATCTAGGACTACGGGTTGACGAGCATCTAGATATGTGAAACTGTGAAAGAGTTGTACAATTCTGCCAGCCATGCTTTGTCTTATTCTGTTGGGTGTATGTCTTATGATGTTTTTTATGAAACTGTATGAAAGTCTTGTTGAGCCGGTAATGATCTATGGCTCTGGTATATGAGGATAAAACGTTAATCTAATCCAAAATAGAGCCGGTAAATTATTTCTTGGTGTTAGTAACGGTACCTCCATGTATAGCCACTAATGGAGACATGGGTCTCTCCTCCCCGTTTGTTACATTACATGCTAATGTTTTTAGACTACCCCAAGATTTAATAACAGTACTTGTAACGCTTTGATGAAGAAAAAGGTTACTATGTAAAAGTTCATGGAGTACTAAAGTTGTTAAAATTTCCTGTAATCTTAATATTTATGATGTTATGAATATTATGACTGCTCCAATGTCCCGAAAGAAGAAAATTGCCCATATTAAAAACGTTCTCGTAAACAAAGATGAACTGAGCTGGAGAACAAAGCTTTGGAACGATAAACATAATGTTAAGGGCAATACATTAAGAACTTTCATGATCGTAACGTTGTTGCTCCTTATGTTCTAAATACAGGGACCACCGTCGCATTTTAGCTAGTTTTAGATCTGGATCGAAACAGGACGATTTACAACCCCCCAAACCTTTGAGAAAATAGAATCTGCCCGCACTGTTTTAAAATTGTTCATAAAAGTTTGTCGAAAATGAATTTCACTTTATTAAATGTTATGTCCTTTATGATCTTAGAAGTATTTTACTTAGATAATGGTCATCTCTTTTGAAACACGTGACGCATTCATAAAATAAATTCCTCTGTAAGGTTCACACCCAATTGTCAGACATCCCATTTGGCAGGTGACCGAATCATCAGACAGACCAGTCAAGTGTGACCAGTGTATTCGCCTGGTCTAAACTACTAATTACTGTGCTGCTCTCGACTGTGGGCAGAGTAAGCTATTCAAACTCGTTAAGTGATACAGATTAACCAGATTCCTCTACGCTGGGCAAACACTGGTCTATGTAGAATCATATCGTTATCTGGGACTACGGGTTGACGAGCATCTAGATATGTGAAACTGTGAAAGAGTTGTACAATTCTGCCAGCCATGCTTTGTCTTATTCTGTTGGGTGTATGTCTTATGATGTTTTTTATGAAACTGTATGAAAGTCTTGTTGAGCCGGTAATGTTCTATGGCTCTGGTATATGAGGATAAAACGTTAATCTAATCCAAAATAGAGCCGGTAAATTATTTCTTGGTGTTAGTAACGGTACCTCCATGTATAGCCACTAATGGAGACATGGGTCTCTCCTCCCCGTTTGTTACATTACATGCTAATGTTTTTAGACTACCCCAAGATTTAATAACAGTACTTGTAACGCTTTGATGAAGAAAATGGTTACTATGTAAAAGTTCATGGAGTACTAAAGTTGTTAAAATTTCCTGTAATCTTAATATTTATGATGTTATGAATATTATGACTGCTCCAATGTCCCGAAAGAAGAAAATTGCCCATATTAAAAACGTTCTCGTAAACAAAGATGAACTGAGCTGGAGAACAGAGCTTTGGAATGATAAACATCAATGTTTAAAACTACTTTCAACTACTTGTTGCTGGCGTACGCATTTTATATTGATCAAACTGTTATTAAGATCTCTAAAACATAACGAAATACAAATTATTTCATAACATCATATAGTTGTCATAATGAAAATAGTATTAAAGCATTATTGTCACATGCAATAATTATACTGTTCGGTATCATTAGTAAACTTTGCAACCACATATTATGTGAAACATTCTATAAGAGGTGAGGAAATTGAATGAAGCAGTGGTAAAATCTAACCAACTATACAAAATTGTATATTTTGGAAATACCAACTATACAAAATTGTATATTTTGGAAATATCAAATATACAAAATTGTATATTTTGTATATATGGGTATTTTTTCTTGTGCAAGCTGACAATGTCAAGGCCAAGCTGACCTAGCAAAACTAATTAATATCAACGTGATGCTATCACCAGTGTCTACTTGAAAATCCAATCTATTGATTTCTTTACCTGTAAATTACCTTAATGACCATTGTATAGACATCCAGACTGCGGCTGTAAAAACAAACTTTTCTTAATCTAACGTAATTACCGCAATAACCATCGTGTCACGGCCACGTGACAAATCCTCTAAAAACTCATAGACCTCTCTTAATATTTATGCATGACCCCAATGTCAAACTCCAAAACGAGGCTTTCTCCGCATACTACAACTATGGCGTCAAAACAAATCCCCGGAAGCGACTTGACTCGCGTACCGCGCTTGACTTTTGCATTCGTGGAGAACTTTGTTCAAGCTAACTCTAGGAGTGCAGGAACTTCTCAGCTGAACAAGGGGTTCAAGTGCTACAGCGAGGGTTTCATATCCAGTCTAAAGGGTAACTTTCTCATTCATTTTATACCAATTTGACGATCACTTCACTTTGGCAGGTCACACTGACGTTGTCATATTCATGTGCTCGCAAGTGCTGATATATTTACATGAACTCAAAGATGTGTATTAAATATTATTATAGTCGATTGTAAGTTGGAACATATGCATAAATTCAAAGTCATTATACATATTGGAAGTGAGTACCGAGTACGGAATATAACTTCAGGCCAGAGTGCCGCTCAAAGGTCACACAGTGCGCAGTTCGGACGGCTGACAGCGTTCCCTTGCATGCATGACGAAGTTTACATCTATTTCCCGAGTTGACGATTGAAACAAAATTATGCAAACCGTACCAGGTAACGTATACAAGAACAATCTTAATCTATTATTTGCGTGAATACTAAATACCCATAGATCTAGAAATATAAAATATACATTTGTATTTCCATTTTGCAGCTTCTTGTGATGACAACTGTTGCCGCTTGACTGCAAGGTGCTATCGCTCACAGCGGAAAAACGAATCCCCACATGATATTCAGGTACGAATGAATCTCACAATTGCCTGAGTTTATCCCTGTAACCATGTTGCCCAACGTTATTACCAGGAGTGCAGGTAGATAGCAGCTAGGGTGAACATGTGAAAAGACTAATATTAATCGTTTTTATGACCATATTACTATTTTGGAACCAGCCAGTATATTGGATGGATTGGAATTTTCAGCTACTGAAAATAATTCAAAGCATTACAATTAATGATGTTAATGGAAATAACACTACAAGGCTACATCTATTTTTAAAACCATTACTACCACTGAATTATTTCAGTACTCTCACCACACCATGCTATGTTGCAGACAAGTACAAGTATTTGGTTTATTTCTCTCTATATGCAGATTATTCTCCACTCTGAGCCGGTGAGTGTCAGCTCTGCTAGCTGCTCATGTGCAATTGGCCTGAGTCAGTGCTGTGGACACATCACTGGGACATCTTGTGGCTCATTACAAGCTGTGTGGAGTGAGGTCTATCCCCCAAGATGTTGCCAAGACATCATTGCCACAGACATGGCACATACCAAGGGGAGACAAGATTCGTGGAATGTCAGTTCAGGAGGTAGAAGTTGTTGGCTACAAGAGAGACAGTGATGAGCAGCATAAACCTGTGAAATCTACCCTGTACAACCCAATCCGTTCACCACTTCCTCCATTTGAGCTTTTGTTTGACAAGCTGACTGTGTCTCATCTTGACTCATCTCTGCTCACCACTGTACCCCCTACTGGTGAATCCTATCAACCTCTTGTGAATACAAGGTTTGGCTTGTTTCACAAGGGCAGCTCAATCAGTCATCAACAGAAACTTTCACCATCATATTTGTTGAATATTGTTGATGCCTTGTTCCCAGACCTTCCTGTCAACAGTGACAATACTGGGGACAATCACTACAGCCATGTCACTAATGTGTCTCAAACTACCCTGCTTGACTCACTCTTGATCAGCAAGGAGGAGGCTGTGGAGATAGAGAAGGCTACCAGGCTGCAGGCTGCAGATAAGAAGTGGAAGAGATTGGGGACCCACGGAGTAACTGCATCCAAAGTTGGAGAAATATCAAAGCGAAAAAAAGGTAAACAATTAAAATTTAAAAATTATGGCAAGAATGTGTATGAGAATATTAGCACACAAATCAGATAACTTATATGTAGTTATTATAATAAATATTGATTGATTTTCATTTTGAAACTGATATACTTTTTATTTGTATTCAGATCCTGAAAACTATGCCAAAAAGCTGAGGACCTCGACGAGAAGTGTCATGACTGAGGCCATGAGGGAAGGCCTTGCTAATGAGCCAGTTGCTGTTGCAGCATACAGCAGAGTGAGATATTTCTTAATTTGACACTGACTGTGTTGGTGCATGTAAAATGCAACAAAACAATTTTATGGAATGTTTGAATATGTATCTCCTCATTATATTGACCTAATTGGTACATAAGTGTATTCCATTCTATCACTCAACTTGATTGTTTTCATTTTTGTGGTTTTTGAAACAGTTATCTCCATTTTGACAATCACAAGTTATTCATGCACACATTAGATAGGTAAAATATCTAAAATTGACTTTCAGGTGAAGGATGATAAGATAAATATTTATCCGTCTGGTATTGTCATCAACCCCAAGTGTTCCTGGATGGCTGCCTCACCAGACAGGAAGGTGCTTGACCCAAGCACCATTCCACCATTTGGCCTCCTGGAAATCAAGTGCCCTGACCTTAGTAACAAGGACATCCAAGATCTACAGTACCTGACCATGGTCAATGGTAACCTTTGCTTAAAGAAAAATGACAACTACTATCACCAAATACAGATGCAGCTAGCCATGTCTGGCCTGGTGTGGTGTGATTTTTTTGTATGGTCAACAAAAGCCACTCATTTAGAGAGAATATACTTCTGCAGAGATAGCGGGCAGCAAACTAAAGACAAAGCTGATAAGTTCTACTTTGATTATATCCTATTCTAAAATTATCTTGTAAAAATATGTCATTATCTCCGTCCACCAGGTACTAGTAACTACAGAATAAGAAATCAGAAACTTATTAAGTGTGATAGGTATTGTTTTAATACTGGCCATTAGACAACGATTTGTCACTTGTTTTACAAGTATTTGACATCACAGCTTGAAAAACAATTGTAATGACCATTCATAATGTCATGTAACATCGTTAACTAGGGATGGCTAAAGAAGATTGATAATCAAAACTATTGTTGATGTGAACAATTTGTAACGATTATTGATATGAAAATTGTGTCATCGATAATATCTTATATAATCTATTGTTATGAGTAAAGTTTTAATTTACAGAAGCAGACTTGTTATGTCCATTGCAAAAGACGGAAAGCAACTAATTTTGTTATATCTGACATGTCCACAAAGTAATGCATAAATGTGTCACCACTCAACAGTGAAATGAAATATGTTGTTTTGTCTCTTGAGCTTTTAGCATACTTGCTAAAAGTTACTTCTCCAATATTTATCGATAATTGATCGATATTTAGTTAATGATTATCAATCACTCAGATCAATATCTATAGCCAGCCCTATTATTAATATATCAACAAGAATATTTAATAAATAACACAGCTTATCTTTGCAACCAGTTTTCAACAAGAATGAATTTTCAATGAGTAAAAGCTGCACTAAATGTATGTACAAAAATAAACACTTATATAAGTGTTGTGAATCACTTCCATTCATCCATTCCACATGTATCATATTTCTGGAGCACTGTTTTAGAGTTGAATTTTCTTTTTGATATCCAATTGAATATCAAGTTTAACTTCAGACGTCAACTTTTACCGACATTAGTTATTAATATCAACATGACAAAAATGCACTTCTCTACAACATATATGTTTGGGGTGCAAAACTAAATAACTATCGGTGATTATCATTAAATGGACATTTGCAATCTGTATGCGAGTGAGTGAGTTAAAATTTAATGTCACATCCGCAATATTTCAGCTATATAGCTATGAGACCAAGTTGATATGTACACAGTTTGTTCATGAATACAAAGTTACATTCAAAAACAAATTATGGAACATATTTGGGCATAACAATCTCATGTAAACAGTTTTAAAACACAGACTATAGGCCACCTTGCTGGGGATCATGGGGACTTACAGTGCCTCGGCTTCCTGTATGATACCACAGCAGGATTTACGTCATCACTTCAGCTACTGGTGGTTGTGCATAATGCTAGCCAATTTTAAAAAAAATACTCAGCAATGAGTTGGCTTTAAAACACTGGTTGATGATAGTTACATCGATTCTGATAGGATTACGTGTCACACAGGTGACAATAATTGTACGATACTTTAACCCCCTGAACAGAGCATTTGATAATGTCTGTTGTATGCACTTGTGCAGTACTTTGTATTGATTTGCAATTTTAGTTAATTTTGTAATATATTTGTTGATTGTATACCACCTGTTGGTTGTTTGTTGGTTTCAGACTAAGATTTCTGGGTTAACATACTGTTTCAATTTGGGAATTGACACGTAACACTTGGCCCAGTTTCAGATTTATGATTTGTCAAACAGTCAAAACACTGTATAGCATTTGGTTTCATGTAGCATCATGACAGACAGCAGGAGCTTAATAGCAGCAATTATGTGATTATCACATTGATCTTCGACTTTCTGTAAATAAAGGGGGATAAACATTACCATATTCAGTAGCTACATGAACTAAATCTAGGCAGCATGGACATTTGGCAAAAGAATAATCTAAATCGGTTGCTATAGCTACTCGTCACTTAAACATGTTAAAAACTCTTAATCAAAGGTCCCTGAAAACCTGATATTATACAGGCAACAGTCCACAACTGGTTAATGCTGCCCAGTTCAGCAATAGAGATTGTGGAGTCAAACAGGTGATTTTGTTTAACTCGTCTGATAAGTCTCTCCACATGAATCCTAAGAGATGCAATTTTCTGGGTCTCTGCAACTTCTTCAGCTGTAAACTGACCACAGTTATGCAGGAAGGGAGGAATATTTAAACCAACACCCTTCTCACTGAGAATACTTGCAATAGTAAAGCCCTTATCAGCCATGACACTGTCTCCTGATTCTACAAGATCTAGGATCCCTGAAAGTTTAGTAATTTCTACATCAGACATCACACCTGTGAAGAGACATGAAACAAATGTTACAGCTCCATGTGGGGCAATACCAATCAGGCCTTTTAGAGTGCAGTTGCTTTTGTAGTGGGAGTAGAACATGGAATTTACCACTAAGGCAGATGGAATTTGAAGCCTGATTTCTGTGCAGTCCAAAATAACTCTTGTGGATGGGTATGTCAACCGGAAATCCTGGGGCATGTGGCGATCCACCTGCACTCTAGAAGGCCAGATCGGTATTGATCCTAAAACAAAGTACATGAAATTGGCCCAGGTGATAACTTTCCTGCTGATAGTTGAAATATGACAATTGAACCTAACTGCCAGGTCTTGATCGGGTGTGCCAAGTCTTAGTCGTACAAAACACATGAAAAGTTCATCAATGAGAAGCATACTGCGTGGTCTTCCTGCAAGAGAGATATCATCTGAACATACATAATATTTGCTGCACATGTTAAAAGCACTGAGTTTGACAAAGTCGAAAAATATTTTGAAAGAGTGATAATCTCCATCATCATGGGAGAAACGTTCAACACCAAATCTCTCAACAGTAAGCTGCCTGCTGAGATCATCTTTCTCCTGCTGAAGCTGCTGGATCCGCAACAGGAGCTGTTGGATGTCAGGAAGGCAGAGGTCAGTCTGTGTCCCAGCATCAGGCTTCACAAAGGCAGGCTCTTGTTGCAAGTTCTCCAAACTGAAACATAAACATTGTCAAACTGAGATTACCGTAATGATAAAGTTGTATTCAATTCTCAAAAAGTTTTATGAAACCTTGTCTGTGCTAGACCATGAAATAGTGCTGATGGTTTATGATTAAATGTAGGGGAGGACCATCCCTCTATTTTATGGTCTCTGGTCAGTGTATAACAAAAGGAAAATGAACTGACCTGTTGGGTTTAAGCTTATGATGTTGCTAGTTTATTTCATTAAAATAACTTACTGAGAATTACATATAATCCTGCTTACTTTGACCCCCAAAATCAAACGCGAACACTACACATTGATGTTCAAACATGGTATTTGACATGTTTTATGTATAGACTTGTGTCTGATTCAATCACTTGACATTAATAAACCATTACCTTTGTTTTCTCATTCTTGCTATGGGTTGGAGGGGTTGTCTTGATGGTGGACCTTTCCTTGTTTTTTTGGCAGAGCTCCAGGGAAACAAGGATGGCACAATCCCTTGCTCCAAGGTTCTCCTGACTGGCGTGTACTTATAGTCTTCATTCAGAAAATGGTTGGAGCAGACAGTTGTTTTCTTTGTTACCTGAAGACAGATGATAAAAATGTCAGTACCTCATCGGAATATGCCTTAATCCATATAAACAGAAATTAAGTCTGTGCCGATTTAATCACCAGTAAAGCATACAAAAGTCTTATTATCTCTATTCATCTAAGAAACAAAACTACGGCAACAATTAGATGCAGACCGCTGATGTCTCGTATACGTATCTCGAATGTCACGAACGAGCGATGTTTCCTAGTAGCGACTCGTTGCACAAGAAAAAGCTGAAAAGAGCAACATGCCGATTTGCCCATTTTTTCACTTTATTAGTATCATACCTGCCTCTGATTGTAATTTACTTTCATTACTACGTGTTGACTATATGAGGACTATATGACAACGGCATGCAAGCAGCATCATGCTCAACACGACTGTTTGACAGGTGACAGTTACAAGTGATGCAAACGGAAAAAGCTGAATGAAAAAGTTTACCTACCGTAAAAAACGGTCCTTCGTCGCGTCGAATGGCCACTATCCAAAGTTTCCGCAAATCAGCATCCTGAGGGAAGCTGTGGAAACTGACCGATTTGTCGTAACGTGCATCCGGCATGCACTGAAGCACACAGCAGTGCTCGGCGGCCATGATGTCATAGTTTGACAGCTTGCGGGGTTAGCCTCGTTTTGGAGTTTGACCCCAGGGTCACGCATAAATATTAAGAGACGGCTATTAGACATCCAGACAGCAGCTGTAAAAACAAACCATAATTAATCTGATGTAATTAACGCAATTACCATCGTGTCACGGTCACGTGACACATCCTTTAAGAACTCATTTCGACCTGTCCAATCAAATTCCTATAAGTAAATTACCTAATCTATTTCAACCAACCAAAATTGTAATTAAAGGACACATTGTTTGTTTTTGCAAATCAAGAGAATTCCGACGTTGATCAGTGGTGTTTCCTGTACTTTTTAGACTATAAAAAGAGGTCCTTGATTTTATATCAACACATTGAACCTCACAAAAAATGCTGGAACATTTCCTTGACTGATCATTGGCTCACGGAATTCTCCCTTCTAATTTAAGGTAAGTTCACTTGTACAAACTCTTTTATTTTATGTCAAATAATATCACAATTCGTGATTTACTATTTATTCGAGTATGGTGAATAGAAAATGGCAAATATTATGTATTTTGTGTATTTCTAAATAATCTCTGCATGAATATTGTCGTGCATAATATCTCAGTCATTATTGAACATGTAAATGAAGAAGATCTATTGTCATGAATAGTTGTGTATTTATTGCACTCATGTATGATTAATGATATGGTAAGAGAACCAATACACATATTAGGTTCAACGGCATATATCATTTATATAGGATTTATATGACAACCTTTGAGGTATAATTGACATATGATTTGAGTAATTGTATGAATGGTTCCTGAATGATTATTATCCGATGTTGTGTTGAAAGAATGAAATAGTATAAAGTGTCATTATGTATACAAACTCTACCATGTGAAACGCTAATTCCCCCATCAAAATGAAATGTGTATTTAAGATTATTGTTTGATTAATATATCATGTATGACATTGAACCTCACAATAAATTCTGGAACATCTCCTTGACTGATCATTGACTCACGGAATTCTCCCTTCTAATTTAAGGATAAGAATACGTCTTGTTATCCCATAAGTAACGGGGTAACAAATGGTGGAAAAAGGGTTTCCCTAAAACCTCTCACATGTCAAGACAGAAAGGCTTCACTCCCTCCTTCAACGCCTACGGACTACGAAGCAACTCACAAACAGGGGA